AAGAACAGCTAGAAATGTACTTGAGTCTACAACATCACAATTATCATGACAAAATTGAGTGATCAGGATCTTTTCTCTGCCTTTATTGATGTTACACTTGAGAAACTGGACAAAATCTTCTGCAGATTTTATTGCACTCAATTCTGGGTACATTGTGGACAATTTAACGTAGAATGTCTTAAACCCATGTAATTTCAAGTTTACTGTAGTGGGCAGTTTGTTCTCCGATACTGTTACATTCCAGAATTCTTTAGTTGCTTCAGTTGGAAGTTGATTATTGGCTATTGCCAACCTATGTAAGAACATCAGAAAGCAACTGTTTACATTACACACTGTACAACAACGTCCAAATAATAATCTGAGAGCTCTAATGCTACATGATTTGGGAATGTAAAAAAACCATCTGTAAAACAGGTTCTGTAATGTATCCATTTTTCTGAGAAGGCGATGTTCTGGCCATATTTCTAGCCCATATAGTGCAGCTGCCCATACCAAGGAGTCAAAAAACCTCAATGCCATTTTTGTGTCTTTTAACTCCAAATTACTTAGAACATTACATAATGTTATTAATTGGGAATGTCCTACATTGAAGTTGTTCATGATGTGACTTGTTGCGTGACAACCATTTTGCAAGCAAACTCCTAGGTAAATCCCTACTTTTGAGTGTGCAGTTCACCCCATCAATCTGCCATGTCATTCCTGATTTATTTGGATTCCTTACTGCTTTTGATGATAAAATCTCTGTCTTATTAGCATTTATTTTAAGTCTATTAATGTTGCAGTAGTCAACAAAACGGTTCAAGATATTCTGCAGTCATAACTTTGAGGTTGCTAGTACAACTGTATCATCTGCAAATTGCAGAACATCAACTTGACAGGTACCAATGTCTATAGCTCCTGAGCCAACCATAATAAATTTGGGTAGATCACTTACAAAGAATAAAAACAATAATGGTGACAAGCAGGAACCCTCTTTTAATCCATGATTTGCTGTGAAGACTGAGGCTTTCTTGTTACCAGTGATAACTTGGAACTCAGTTTCATCATACAAACTTGCAAGTGCTTTCAAGAATTTGAAGGATACCCCTAAAAGTGATAGTTTTCGAAATAAAATTTGCCTGTCAACAGATGGGAAAGCTTTAGCAAGGTCAAGCAGTGCTATAAGTATTCCCTCCTTGTAATTTTTAGTTTGACGGATCAGTTCCATGATGAAGACATTGTCAATTGTTGATCTTGCTTTGCAAAATCCAGCTTGGACATCAGGAAATAAATGTTTGTCTTCAGACCATTGTAACAGCCTGTCAGTCTTTTTCAAGAAGAAGACTCATTCTTCTTCACAGTCTTCAACAATCCTTGTCTTTTTCGAAGCGTATGCAAGTACTGCTTGGAAACAAAGATGACTGGTTCCCAGTCCCCGTAAACCTGCCTGAACCCTTTCCGGTGTAGAAATCGTTGTACCTCCGCTGGTCCTTCTTCCGTATGGATGAGATCTAAGATGATCACCTGGAATTGTGAGTTTTCACCCCTCAGATCAAATTTGCTGTGAACTGAAATTGTATGTGGTCCATTAATTTTATCCGTGACTTGAAATAGTGTTTCGATGAAACAGTAGCAGTTAAAAACCTCAAGTACAGTCAAATGTCCCTCTTTTGACATTTTTGCAAGTCTCTATCTGAATTCTCCTGGAATCGATGCATTATAAGAGCCTCCCTAATTTGAAGGCTTCCCTCCTCTATCCTCCTTAACTCGAATTTTCTGAAGCCTTTTTGGGTATTATTTTATTGACAAGAAAATAAAAAAGGAATAAGAATGTAACTTGTGTTTTGGAAGGAAGTTAAGGACTAATTGGGTAAATGATCCCTTGCCTCCAAGTTCAGCATCCTGTCAACTCATTAAAGTAATTTAAGGCCCAGAATATCACCAATTACAATTTCCTGCAATTTTTATTTATTTCTCCTTACAAAAATCCTGTTTCCTCTGAATTGATTTTTTTGGCTGGTCCCTTGAAGTTTGATGAAGAGGTTTGACTGTAATACAAAGTGGTTTTTTCCTTGATGAAGATTTTAAACAATTTTTCACGGGATGGCAAAAGATTCCAGTTGCAATTTTGTGCGAATGTTTTTTGAAAAATTATTATGATTTGATTTTGTTTTCTTCAGAAGTTCAAAATGCATGTGGATTAATTTTAAGAATGAATGCATTTTGACGTTTTCTTTGCCAAAATCAAGAGGAAATAGGACCTGAACTCTGGATCTTGCCTGAAATATAGAGTCAACCTCACAGAACATACTTAAGTTGTGCAACAGACTAGTCTGCTGTGTGAAGAGTCTGTTATGCAAATTCAATTACAGGTGAACCTTGATAACTTGGACCTCCCTGAGTCAAATACCCCCCTAAGTCGAATTTTTTTTCAAATCCCATCTGAATCCCCTTAGAAACAATACATTAAAAACCCTTTTAAGTTGAAGGCTTTTCCCCTCAAACCTCTGTAAGTCAAATTTTCTGTGGCCTGTTGGCCAATATTTTCTTGAAAAAAAGAAAGAAAAAAAGCAATAAAAACAGAAATTTATGTGTTTTAAAGGAAGTGAAAGATTTAATTGGGCAAATGAACCCCTGCCTCCAAGTTCAGCAGCCTTTCAACTCATATAAGCTTTATAATATCCATTTACATTTTTTCAAAGTTTTCCAAAAAATGGCTTTGTATTGCAGTTCCAACCTATGAAATTCCTGACCTCCCCAAGTCAACTTTTTTTGTAGGTCCCTTGAAATTCGACTTAGGAGAGGTTTGACTGTATTTAAAAATTTCAATTTTTACTTTTTGCCATCAATTTTGACCCAACAAAAGTCTGTTATGTGGATTTATTTTATTGCATGGGAGGAAAAATCGCCTCCACATGCAGTCTGTTGTGTTGGGGTCAACCGTATTCAGGAGATTCAATCGTCATTTTTGTAATGGTTAATCCAAGATTCAGTAATAATAAAAATAAATAGAAGCGATTCCTTTAAAGCTTTACGTTACATTCCAAAAAAAACCCATCGGTTGATGAGAGTGAAGATGGGTCATTCGAATTCTATGAAACTATAATGATGAACATACTTTTATAGTGACGGCTTTCCAGTCGATAGTCTTGAGGACCTGCAGCTCAACACCCTCCAGATCCAACGCAAAAAGGTCAATGCTGGAAATGTTTGCAGCTGCCAAAACAGCCGGCAACGGATAGCAATCCACTATCGCCGTCACCTCGAGGAAATTCTGCGGTTTCACGTGATACCGTAAGTGATTCCGCACTAGACCGTTCACAGATGCGCCCCACATGGTGTAAGGAAATTTCGGATCGTATCTCATGGTCATCGGCATCTTTGGAAGATCAGCGTGTTTTTCTTATTTGATAAGGTCAGACCTCGTGATGGATTTTTCAGTTGCAGGACGAGACCCCGACATACGGACGATTTGACTTGGGGAGGCTCGAAAAAATCTACCCCAAAATCTGGTCTCAAGATAGGGACACTTCCCAACATTTATTGAAAAATTGAAAATTTTTATTTTACAAGACTGTTTATGTCTCTTTGAACAAATTGAGCTGTGTATCTTCTAAAAATTGAAAAAAATTCGGTTTAAATTTGCTCCAAGCCATGATCAGAAAGAGTATAAGAGTATAGCATCTGTGCACAGTGAAGCACAACTTGTACTTTGCTTCTTGAGTTCCTTTTGATGCCAAAAATACCAGATTCCATGTGTTTTTCTTCCGCACAATTATTTTCTGTATGTTTAAGTTGAGGAAAACCGTTTAATTCAATTTTTGTTTGACTTAATCCTAAGTTTTGATGAACTGAAGAACCAATTAAATGTGCTGGCATTGCAGTTTTTGGGGAACTGGAAAATTCTCATTTTATAAAATGTTGATGTATTTTGAAAAAATTGAGCTATTCATTTTCACAAAAATTTAAAATATATGTCATTATGCATTTTCCCCCAATCATAATCGAAAAGAGATTTATTTTGTGCTTTTTCAGAGTTTTCTTCCATCATCTGTGCACAGTAAAGCAAGATTTGTTTTTGTTCTGTGTCTCTTGAGTTGTTTTTGATGCCATAAGATCAGATTCTGTGTATAGTTTGATTGTGCACATTCATTTTCTGTATCATTAAATTGAGGAAAATTATTTTTATTCAATTTTTTAGGGGGAATTAATCTAAAGTTTTGATAACCTTGGGAACCAATTAAATGCGCTTGCATTGAAGTCTGTGGAAAAATGGAAAATTGTATTTCGTGAAACTTTGATATTGCTTGGAACAAATTTAGCTAATTATGTTCAAAAAATTAAATAAAATCCATCATAAATATACTCCTATACATGTGATCAAAAAGAGTTTGTAATTTTGTGCTAGATGTTGAAAACCATTTTATTCCTTTTTTCAGGGGTCTTATTCCTAAGATTTGATGAAATGGAAAACCAGTTGAATGCGTTTGCATTGAATTCTACGGGAAATCGTGATACAACGTGTGGACGCTCCGATGTAGGGACAAGTTCTAATAACGTCCGCATGTCGGGGCCCCCACTGGGCGTTGTAGGTTCACCTTTTGCGGTATCGCAGTTGTTGAAAGACAGACTGGAGCAATTTGGGCCTTACGGTTCTTGCTGATGAGTCTCTCCATCGCCAGGGGATTCATTTCGACCAAGAGTCCTGTCCAGTTGCGAACCACTTCGAAATACAAGGAACAGGAAAGAGTTTCCCCATCTAGTGCTCCGGCTTCGAAGAACACGCCGTTGTATTTCTTTATTCGATCAAAAGGAAGAGAAAACGAAAATACAAAATACAAAATAGAAAATTTACACAAATGTCGAAAGTCTTCGTTTCATGAGAGTGACCGCATGAAAAAATTAAATACAGTAATTCCTAATTGAAGCGCGATGCAATCGATGGTATGATTTTTTTTAATTCTATGCACGACTTTCTTCGATGCAAATATTCTTAGATTCGTCTTCGTTTTTGTTCGAATCTAGTAGATAATGTTCCACGGGGGCGAAAATGTGACCAAAAACTTACACGAAGTTCCAAGCCCACATAAGTGTTGCCATAACAGTCGATGCAAAGCAATCATTTTTTTTCGTTCTTCGAACAAAAATTCATCATTTTTGGGACAAAGGAAACAAAAATTGAGAATGCATCACGACTATTAAATTTAATAAGCATCACGACTATTTAAATTTAAAATGAAGTGAGCAATGATTCAAGATTTAAAACTGAAGCTCTTTCTTCCTGGAATAAAGAACACACTTATTGGAAATTAGGGATGGACCTTGTGCAAGGAGGAGAAAAATCCAGCAACCAACATGGGCAAGATCCAACACTGCAGTACTTTGACAAATGTCCACTTATCCTGCCTTCATACCTTGAGGCAGAAGGAGAAAAAAGTGGACACAAGTTTCCTACAATTTGAAGGTACTGTAATAAAACACATGTCACAAGCAGAAACCAGGCTTTGGATGATTTTTTTGAAAAGAAAATAATTAAAAATAAACCACTGCTTTTGGTAAAATTCAAAACAGACCCAAGTTTTCATATGTAGCCGAAAAAATAATCATTGAAAAAATTTAAAAATTGAAAAAGATGTTTGTAAGTTTGTGCCAAAAATATGTAAAATTTTTGATTTTTTGTTTGGCCTGTCAAATTTACAACAGCTTGTGACATGGGTGGAGAAGCCTCACCAAAACTGGAAAGTTTTCACTTACCATCATGCAGTAAATCTAATTTTTTTTAATATAATTCTAGAAAAATTCCCAGAAGCTTACAATAGCATGGGCAAGTGTTACCTACTCTAGAAATTCCCAAGGTAAGTCAGAAGCGGGACAACCCTCGTTTTTCTTTTTATGAAGGAAAATCGAGTATTTGTAATCAAATCCTTTGAAACTTTAAAAGGACATGTTTTTTAAACCGCCAACCTCTTCAAACAGTCGAAATCCCCCTGGACGAATGATGGTGGCGTCTTAAGGGGGTTTGACTGTATAACAGCTTTGCTTACGTTGGGGAAGAGCTCCTTCATGATGACGTTTTTCACAAAACGGTTGGCAGGATTCTCTTCGTTCTTGTCGGCTGACCGCACCTTTCGCGGATCATTTTCCAGATTATAATCGTCCTCGGAAGGCGGCCACAAGAAAGTCTCTCTGATGTGATCGACGAGCAGGTCGTCGTAAGTGCGATTCCTTCCGAAGCTTTGATCGAAGTCCTGAATGAAGAATTCTTCGTGGTTGCACACGAGCGGATACGATTGTTGGCAGTTTTCGCGGGAACACCAACACCCTGGGTCATTTACCAGCAACAAGAGTGTGATGATGGCCAAGCAGCACAAGCCCAGTGAGGATTTTAGACACGAGGGAGCGTTCAAGAAGCGGCGCATGGCGACTCGTTTCAGCCTCATGAAGATGATGCTGTCGTGTTTTGTGCATTTCATGCTCTTTACCTTTCGGGTGCGAATCGAAATTGAATTATTCGTAATTCGCGTTCGTAACCTGATCCAAACGAAAAGGCAGAAGTAAGAACAAGAGTAGTATAGGTTCATCGGCTTCGGTTCCCACAGGATTTTCTCGTTTCCTCGAAAGATTAGTTGTGGAAGTTTTTTTTTTTTAGAAAGTGTAGTAGTCCACGTCTGCGGATTCGGTCGTTTCTTGTGAAATCTTCTATTATTTACCAAGTGCGACTGATAAGGTTGACGTGATGAGGTGAATTAAGGATATATAGTTTATAGTGCTAAATAACCTGGTGCTGCAGAGGTGTTTCTTTTTCTGTCGCGAAGATAAGAGGATGAGAGTGGAACATAATTTAAACCTCGTTCGTGGTCATTTAGATCAATTTTACTACCCATTATATCGTACTTACCCAAGTACCATGCGCACATTTTTTCTGCAAAATCAATAGAGGAAATTAGCGGCGGGAGCCATACAAGATTACTTTGCGTATGTGCGAATCATGAGCAGGAAATTTTATTTTTCGGCTCAAATTCAGTAAAAAAGATTCACCGTCTTTTATATTTTTTCTTATTTTGTTCAACGTGAAAACATTTAAAATAAAAATTTGAGTTTAAAGCATGTAAAACTGGTGTGCATGTCTTATCCGGTTCAGTGGCGGCCTTAGGGTGGGGCGAGAGGGGCGGCTGCCCCAGGCCCCGCGATTGAGGGGGCCCCGCACTTGAGGAGGGCTCCGCTGTCTGGTGGTTCTGAAAATTGGCTGTCCCCTTGAGTTTTTTGTAACTTGCCTTGAACCTCGAAGGAGTGGGCCCCTTCCAAAAGGATAATTTTATTTTCAACTCTTGACAAAGTTTCCCACCAAGTGATCTGATCTATAAGTGCAGCACAACAAAGCCAACAATGCATTCAGAAGAATATTGGCATAGGAGCTTTCCTTCTGCATATACATTTTTCAATCTTCAGTGAAATTTCTGTTGAAGATAAATGCATTTTCACATTTTATAAGGTCTTGTTGAGTCCTTATCAATAAGATTTGAAAAAGAAACAATGCATCTTGAATTT